GGGGCAGGGCTGTGGTCAGCGCCGCCGTGTGGGATAGCCAGGCGGCCGGGTCGATGGGCCGAACAGGGTGAGCCCTGGGACGGTGAAGTAGCTCCGGGGGGTCGGGTCCCAGCACTTGGCCACCGTGAGGCTGATGGGCCCCGTCTGGGACACGATCTCCCGCAGCACGCGCATGGCATCGTCGTTGCTCATGTTCTCAAAGTTGACATCGTTCACCTGCAGCAGCATGTCCCCGGGCTCGATGCGGCCGTCGGCAGCCACCGCCCCGCCCTTCATGATGGAGCCGATGTAGATGCCGCCGTCCCCCCGGTCGTTGCTCTGGCCCACGATGCTGATGCCCAGGAAGTGGTGCCTCTCCATGTTGAGCGTGACGGTGATGATGTTCAGGGACATGGTGGAGTCGGTGATGCTGCTGAAGGACGAGGCGCGGTCTGCCTGCCGCAGGCGCTGCTTCCGCCGCCGGCGCTTGTGCTTCCGGATGAGTCGGGACGAGGTGCTCTGCTCGGTGGAGCTGCTCAGCCTGGGGTTGCAGATGTCGGGGCATGGGGGTCAGGGGGCACGAAGGTCAGGGTGCAGAGGTCAGGGGCCAGAGGGGGCTGCGGGGGGGGAGACGCTGCCTACAAACAGGCCTCCCACCCCCTCCAGGTCGTCGAGGGGAGGGGACCGAGGTGGCAGGTGAGGCAGGTGGTGTCTGTCAGAATCAGCTCCTGGCTGCATACACCCCGCCCTGCACGCGTGACACACGCAAACCCACACCCACGGGGATCACTGCTTCCAGGTGAACATGGAGACACAGGCAAACACCAGGTAAGCCTTCACGGCCTCCACAATGGACACACTCATGCGTGTACCCAGTGCACATGGACACACACCTGTGTACGCACACGTATACAACATGCACGTACACTCATGCACACACATGCACGACCCCACACACCCGTGTGCACGTACACACACGTATACAACATGCACGTACACTCATGCACACACATGCACGACCCCACACACCCGTGTGCACGTACACACACGTATACAACATGCACGTACACTCATGCACACATGCGCACGACCCCACACACCCGTGTGCGCGTACACACACGTATACAACATGCACGTACACTCATGCACACATGCGCACGACCCCACACACCCATGTGCGCGTACACACACGTATACAACATGCACGTACACTCATGCACACATGCGCACGACCCCACACACCCATGTGCGCGTACACACACGTATACAACATGCACACATGCCTGCGAAGCGCCCATGCCTGTGTGCATACACAGGATGCGCACACACCCCACACACCCATGTGCACACATGTGCCATTTGCACGCACACCCACAACACACACCGTGCACTCACACGGCCACAACACCTATGCGCGCGTACATGCCCACACGCACCTGCGCATGCACACACACACCTACACACATGTCAAAACACAGCGCGCACCGGCTTGTGTTGTCATCCTCATCGGAGTCGATGAAGCTGCTGGACTCGAGCTCACTGCTCAGCAGGGTGGAGGTGCTGTCGGGGGGCAAGCCCAGGTCCCGCCGCCGGTCCCCCCTCGGGTGCCCGTTGGCCCGGGTGGCTGCGGAGACAGAGGGAAGTGAGCCAACGACGGGGCTCCCGGGCGGTCACGGCAGCCCCTGCTGACCTCCGAGCAGGGCCGCGTGACTAAGGGGCTGCCGGGGGAGGGGTCAGATCCTTGAGACCTGGGGCCTGGGACCTCTCCCCAGAGGCCCCCCTGGCTGGGGCAGGAACTCGTGGGCAGCAGGGACCCGGGTGGAGGTGAGGCCCATTACCCTCCTCCCGGTTCCGGCGTCGGGCTCGCTGGTGCCGGTGGCTGACCATGGACTCGGTGCCGGTCTCGTTGTCCATCCCGTCACGGCTGCTGGCCACGTTCGGGCTGTGCCAACGAGAGCGTGGGCAACGGGGGCCCTTCGAGGCCCTTGCCTCCCCCTTGCCTGGCCAGACCCTGGCTCCACCCACCTGCTCAGCTGCCCACCCCCAGCAGGCAGGGG